AAACGACCGAAAGATTTGCACGGTCGTAAGCGCGCAAGCAAGCGAGTGAACTTAATATAAAGGATTTAAAAATTGAGTTGCAAGACGTGACGTCGTACGTTTGACGTCGCTGCCTGATGATGCTGCTGCTGCTGCTGCTGATGCTGCTGCTGCTGCGTCGCTGGGAGCCGGGCGGCGAGTCCCGATGGGGGAGCCGGCGAAGGAGGCACGGACGGCGTGGGGGGCACGGGACCCCCACCGGCGCCGCGCGGAGAGGTGAGGCCCAGGTCCGGCTCGAAGGACGGGTTGCTCGCCACGCTCAGCTGCGACGGGTGCTGGCGGCGCACGCAAACACGCAAAGATCCCCACCCACCCCGGTGTGACCCCCAACAGAGTGTCGGGGCAAGTGCGCTGTGAAGAGCCGGACACTGCGGCGCAACGAGGGGGGGGGGGGGGTGCGGTGTTGTCAGAACCACGCGCGGCCGCCTTTGTCTCCCCAGTGGCGATGTTTACACGCCGCGTGCGTGCGCGCCGATGCACATCCCACACTCGGAGCGTGCCAGGGTTCATATCTGCCCGAAATTGCAAGTAATGGGGAGAAAGGGGGGCACGTGCATCGCGGCACAACACACACTAGAGAGACAAAGATCGCCCGTGTAGCCTCAACATACTGTCGGGGGCAGGTGCAGTTAGCGAGCGAGTGGCAGTGCCTATGAAGGCGCACGAAGGGGTGGCCAGCGTCAACATCCGGTCGCCTTTGTCTCCCGAGTAGGCGATGTTTGCCCAACTGCACTCCAGGTACTCATTTGAGGCTGAGTTAACCTAGGGAAGGCCCAGGACCGGTTCAGATAATCGTCGCCGGTGTTGTTGGCCGTGAGGGGAATCCAACTCGGGCCGTCAGGTTCGTATCGCAGCGCGCTAACGGCTACACTACCGCTCCCCCACCTCAAACATAGGCACAGATACACGAAGACAAAGATCCCCCCTGTATTTAACAGACTGTAGGGGCAAGTGCTGCTAGCGAGCGCCTATGAAGGCCGGCACTCTGGCACACGACAAATGCCACGGCAATGGGGAGTTGAGGGGGGTGGAGTGTTTGATGCCACAAAATACCCAGGCAGGTGCTTAGTTTTGGAGGGGCACATGGTAAGGCCCCACCACTTAGTAGCACGCTCCAGGTCAAGCAGCAGCGCCTCCAACTACTTCTCTGAGTGAGCAGCAATCACCAGATCATCAGCATACATAGTGGCCCCAACAGGATGACTTTATCCTGAGGGGCCACAGTAGCTAGCACCTGTAACAACAGGAGGTCATAGAAGGCATCTGACTCATCGGCCTTGCCTGTATCGCTCCACTAATGTTCATCTTCGGTGGGGGTGTAAGCTGTAAGCTCCAGTAGCCTGGAGCTTACAGCTTCCCACACCTCACCACGCCCCCTTCATTCTTTTGTTCAGAAGAAGAGCCACTCCCTGTTGTTTGGCAGTCTCCTGCCTCGGGTAGAGGACTGTCCACCCCTCACGGTGACTGGAGCCAGACCCAGTTCACCGGATTTCCTGAACAACCACAGAGATCCAAGCAGTACAGGTCTAGCTCCCGACAAAGGAGAGGCAGCCTCTCCTCCACAGTGAGCGTTGGGACATTCCACGTGGCCACTCGTAGAGGTTTTATTACCGTTTCTGGAGGAACCACGAGGGTACGGGTTCAGTCTTCTGGCTCCGCCAAAGGGGGTTTGGCCAGAAGACGTCATAGACGCCTGTCACCCCGGGGCCTCCCGCACAAGCTTAGTTCGATATTTTACACCAATTTCCGTGGTAATGCAATTGAAGGTGGAGGGGTCACCAGCCCCTCGCATCCGCCCAGAGCCCCCGTTGGCCGCTGTGGTGGCGACGAGAGCCAGGAGGTGTGCAGCCGATTGGAATTGGCCTTCGTGCCCATGGCATTGCCCACATCCACCACAGCGTTACCGTCCGGCACCACTGAGGAGGTAGGAGGTTGTTTTTGCTGGACCAATAACCAATACTCGCCATTCGCCACTAACTGGCCACGGCGTCTGTGCCAGGCCAGGTGCACTTTGAGGCCACGTGAAGTGTCGAAGGCTCGCTGACAGGAGGTCTCGGGACAGACCCAGCAGGTGCCATGGGTTGGCTGACTTGAGATGACCGGGTAGATGCACACCACCAGCTGTAACCCTACTGTGCAAGGCTAGGTGCATCTACCGGTCATCTCAGTGAAACTGACTTGAGATGACCAGTAGACGCACACCACCAGCTATACCCACCCCCCCCCTACTGTGCCAACCTGCTGCGTTTTAGCTGGACCAACACCATCACCACCACAACCACCACCACCACCACCACAAGCCCCCACCTTGGCGAGCACGCCATAGTCGCTCCGCCTCATCACGAGGCGCTCGCGTGACTCCCTCTGGCTGCTCCAGGCGGCTCCGCTGCCCCCCAGGCCGCGGGCGCCCATTTGCACGAGGTCCCGCTCGGAGCGCGCATGCTCCAGGCCCGGCCCGAACGCCCGGCTGTTGCTGCTGCTGCTGTTGTTGCTGTTGCTGCTGCAGCTGCTGCAGATACTGCTGGTGCTGCTGGTGCTGCAGGTTGTGCTGCTGCTGTGCTGGTGGTGGTGCGGGTGGTGCGGGTGGTGTGGAGGTAACACTTGCGGATAGCCCGCGTGCTGTTGCTGCTGCTGTTGTTGCTGCTGCTGCTGCTGTTGCTGCTGCTGCTGGTGATGTAAGAGGAAGGGCCTCGATATCGGAGCGAAACTCTCGTCGACGCTGTAGCTGCGCATGCTGTGCAACTGTCCTCGCGGGCGCGCGCCCGTGCCCTGCTGCTGCTGCTGCTGCTGCTGCCCCTCCCGGACACCGTCCACCCGGCGCTCGCCCCAGACCAGCCGGAGGCGGTGTCCACCGGCGTACCGCCCGCGCTTGAGAAGTTCACGTACTCGTGGTCGCTCTCGCTCGCCGGCGGTGACACGGGCGTCTTGGGGGGCGCGGGCGACAGCGGGCTGTAGTTCCCTCCGCCGCCAAACAGGCTGCTTTGCCTCTCCAGGCGGCCTCGGATCGGCTGCTGTGTGCTGCTGCTGCTGTTGCTGCTGGAGCTGCTGCTGCTGTTGGTAGTGTGCCATCATTGCTTGCGCGCCCGCGTATTTGTTGGCGTAAGACTGCGTCTCGGCCGCAAACCTGTGCTGCTGTTGCTGCTGCTGCTGTGTGCTGCTGCTGGGACAGGGCACTCGCCAGTTCCGCTTGGCTGAAACTAAAATGCTGCTGGCTGCTGAAGGTGCTGATGCTGCGCCGCCGATTCCGTCTTCTTGATGTTCACGTACTCCACCTCTTGCACGCGGGGAAAGCGGGGAGTTGTGCAGATAGAGGCTGGTGACCGCTGTGTGCTGCTGTGCTGCTGCCCAATCCTCTACCGGATCGGGCCCCGACGGCTGTCCGCCCGCCGCAAACGCCCGATCCTGCCGTAGCTGTCGGAGCGCGCCGGCGGCACCGGCCAGCGAGTTGATCCTCTCCATCGCCGCCCTCCTCTGCGCCGCAGTCACTCGTCGATGAGCCACCGCCGGCGGAGCCGCCGCCGGCAGCCCCGTGATTGGCCGTCGCCGCCACCGCGTGGCTGGCCGCGGGCCGCCGCCTGATTGGTCGCCAGCGCTAGAGTCCCAGCCCTCCTGCCGGTGAAGCGGTTCGGTGACGAAGCAGGCTTCTGATTGGCCGAGAGAGACGACGACGACGACGCCGAGACGCGGCGGCGGCGGCCAACGGCGGCCGCGGCGGCTGCGGCAGCGGCGCCGGAGCCGGCAGCGGCGTGGGGCCCGAACCCCTGGGCCGGCGCCCACAGCGAGGAGGTCTTGACGGCGCGCGCCTTGGGGCGAGATGGACGGCAGCTCCTCCAGCCAGTCGGAGCCGAGGTCCTCGTAGCCGAGGGGTAGTAGCTCACCATCCTGACCCCTGCGCCGGAGCAACGGCGAGCAGGGGGGCAGCTCCCGGTGGCGCCGTGCCGCCGCGACACGACCGTCGCCGCCGCCGCCGTCGTTCGCCGCCGGCGCCGCCTGCGCCGCCTGCCGCCGCCGCCTCCTCCAGCTCGTCCTCCTCGTCGAGCAGCGGACACCGAGAGGCTTCGTGTCATGCCCACGTGCTCGCCGCCCGAGCCCCTGCGCGATGCCGCCACCACCACCGACAAGTGGTGCGCGGCGAGGCCGTGCCGCGGATGCTGCTGCTGCTGCTGCTGCTGGTGGTGCTGGAGGAGGGACGACGACCAACGACGACGACGGCAGCTGCTGCTGCTGCTGTTGCCGCTGCTGTTGTTGCTGGGACTGCGAGCTGGGCCCGAAGCTGGTGCAGTCCGTCTCGATGCCGTAAGCCCGCAGGAGGAGGGTGCCCGAGTCCACCTCGGTGAAGCTGAACGATTTGCCGAGGGGCGGCCGGGCCCCCGAGGGCCGCGTCGGGGGGCCCGCTCCGCCGGCCACGGCGGGCGCCGGCGCGGCCCGCCGGCGCCCGGTGCTGCCGCTCGGGGGACAGCTCCTCCGAGCTGCGACTCATCAGCAGCGGCGAGCGCTCCTCGTCGTCGCTGCCGCCGCCACCGCCACCGCGCTGCTGGTGGTGGTGGAGGAGGTGGTGGTGGAGGTGCTGCTGGAGATTGTGGTGGAGGCTGCGCTGGCCGTTACGCCCGCCGCCACCCGCCGCCCCCTCCGTTGCCGTTACCGCCGCCGTTGCCGTTACCGCCGTTACCGCCGCCGTTGCCGTTACCGCCGTTGCCGCCGCCGCGCATGCGTCCCAGCAGCATCAAGCGCGGCCCCACCTTGCCCGCGACGCCGTCGCCCTCCCGTGCCGTGGAACAGCCCCCCGGCTTTACGCCGCTCTCCCCCGTCGCCGGGCCAGAGCGCCGTCGCGAAGCCGTATGCCCCTCCTCCTCCGCCGCCGACACCGCCCGGCGCCGCCGACACGGTGCGCTGAGCCACCGCACCGGGCCCCGCGGTGGCCACCTCGGCGCGCTCTGCGGGAACGTGGAGACGCTCACCGAGCTGCCCAGCGGGGCCCTTGGGAGGGGCCTGAGCGAAGGCCGAGGCCCGGCTCCCGGACAGCAGCGGAGCGCGCCCGACGCCGCCGCCGCCGTCGACATCGTCGCCATCTGCCGGTTGCTGCTGGGCGGCGCTGTAATTTGGGCTACGGGCGTCGGAGGGACGAGCTGGCGGCGAGAAACCGAGAAGCGGGCGGGGGGAACGCCGCGGGGCGTAGCCGGCAGGCTCCGGAACGACGGCCATCGCCGCAGCCGCGCCGGCACCGGCGCCGTCGCCGTACGCGTCGAACGCCGACGCCCCCGCCGGGCGGTGCCGGAGGCTGCCGGCGGCGCTGGCCGCGCCGCTCGACGGCGCGAGCCGCTCGGGACGCGCGTCCCACAGGCTCGACGACTTCTCCGCTCGCCGCCGGCCGGGCCTCGTCGCCACAGCCGTCAGAATCGCCGCCGCTCCCGCCTGCCGCGCCGCCGCTCTCGCTGTGCTGTGTGCTCAGCCGCTCCGCCGCTCCCGCTCGATCGTCGCGGCGACCGCGTCCCTGGTCGCCACGGCGGCACTGTTCGTCGTCGGGCCGCATCCGGCCACCGCCGCCGCCGCCGCTCCCATCAACGATTTATTCCCCGCGGCCGCCGCGGCCATCGGCTGCGGCCGCCGCCGCCGCCCCCGAGAGACCCGCGCCGCCGCCGGCGGCCACCGCCGCCGTCCCGGGCCTCGCGCCGGCGCCGGCGTTGGGCGGCACGGGCGTGGTGAAGTCGGTCGTTTCCAGCGCGTAGATGCCGCGGTCGTTGAAGATGGCCTCGATCGTCTCGGCCGAGTGGATCTGCTCGTACTCGGGGCTGGTGCCCAGCTCGCTCGCCTCGGGGACTTGCTGTCGCCCTCCTCCTCTCCTCCTCGTCGTCGTCGTCGTCGTCGTGGTGGTGGCCGATGCCCATGCCGGGAGCCGGTTGGGACGGGGCTAGGTCGTCTTCCTCCTCCTCCTCTTCCTCCTCTTCCTCCTCCTCATCCTCCTCTTTCTTCCTCCTCCTCCTCCTCCTCCTCGTTGTCCTCCTCGGACCAGTCTGACCCCAGCGAGGCCCTGGCGAAGCACGTGGTCACGAACAGGGTACTGCACGTGTAAGTGAGCTTTTGAACGCGACGGTACACTCATCCGTGCGCTGCGCGCGATTAAATTCTTTCGCACCGCACGTAGTCAACCGTGCTAGTCAGAGGTGGAGGGGAGGGGGAAGGCAACGAAACCAAACAGGTCGCTTCCGAACAGTGGCTTATCATGTCACGTGGAAATGTATAGCAGCAGCCAAATAAATGCACAGAGGTGCATAGAGAGACCCATAGAGACCCATAAGATATCTAAAGAGACCCATCGAGTTACATAGAGGACCCTAGAGACCCATAGATTCATAGAGGCCCATCGAGAGATATAAAGAAACCCATAGAGGACACGTAGATTCATAGAGACCCATCGAGATATAAGAGACCCATGGAGACCCACAGACTAAACTAGATGTATTTACCAATATTTTACCAGAAACGACCTGACCACAAATGATAGCAGCCAAACACTCCAAAGGCACAGAGATATTAGGGAGACCCATAGAGACAAATAAAGATCCACAGACTCAACTATTGATTGACCAGGCGAGGCCTACCGAGCAACGTACTGTAACCATACTCTTTGGTTCTGTCGGTAAAGTCACGTAGGTAAAATAATTAAATAAATTAAATCACGACGTTTCGTACGCAAGCGTCCGTCATCGGGTGGGACAACCACCGCAAAAAACAGTTGCTGAAGTGGGCAAAGTAGCTGCTAGTACCAGGGGTTTATATAGATGAGGGAGGGGGGTGGAGCCAGGAATAGAGAGGGTGGGTGGGGAGGAAGTCAAAATGCAAACAAAAATAAACAACTCTGATGATAATAATGATATGCACTGTCCTTGAAGTTGATTGGTCCACAACCCGAGACAGCTTTTCTTAGAGCCTAGTCTCACATGGTGTTGGACCAGATGACGCCAAAAGGCGTACAACTCAAAGACAGCGCCCTATCAGAGTATTGAGAGCTCGGGGTAAGCATTTACACTATGACCAGTGGCAAAATATAGTAATAGGTGTTTACCCTTTCAACTGGTACAAAAGTAAATATGACATTGAGGGCAAATAAGCGAGGAGCCGGGGGCGGTAAATAACCTGTGCTGCAAACTCGACATGCAGGTCAGGCCCAACTGAGCTCATCGTCGACACGCGGACCCGGAGAGACAAACAATACACATAATTTCGTATTATTTATTATTGTATTATTATATTTTATTATGTACATTTTTGTCTTTTAGTTTTCTCCCGTCTACGTGACTTTACCGAAAGAACCAAGAAGATGAATACAACAATAATCGTACATTTTGCGAAAAATCCATGCGACGATCGAGACCCCCCCACTTCCAGCGCAACCCCCACAGCGCCCCCCCCCACAGCCCCCCCCCCACAAGCCCCCCCCCCCACAGCCCCCCACCCCGCTCCGTCTCACCCGTCGTTGGCGCCGCCGCGCCCGCGCCGCGGCCGCCCGCGCCGCCGCGGCCTCGCGGAGTCCGAGTCGCTGCTCTCCGTGCTGCCGAGGGCGCTGCCGCCGTGCGCCATCGTCGGCGACACTGAACTCAGGAGCTCTGCGTCTCCTGCTTCTGCTGGGTGCCGCCTCTGCAACTGCCTGTGCTGCTGCTGCTGCGTCTGCTGCGTCTGCGTCTGCTGCTGCTGCACGGACGACTCGGAGCTGAGCGAGCTGTCCCGGCTCGCCATCTGCTCCGCGGCCGCCGCCGGTGGCGACACGGAGCTGGCGGAGCTGGCCGCGTCGTCCGCGGCTCTCGGCCGCGGCCACCGCCGACGGCGTCGCACGGCGGTGGTGGCCGTTGGCGACATCGGACGTCCGTCCCGGGGCGGGCGGCGCCGCTTCCCGGCTGATCCGGCGGCGACTGAGAATCTCGGGAGCCGAATCTGAGCCGGAAAAGCCGTCGGTGGCGCGGGAGCGCAGGGCGGCGACGGCGTCCTGCCGGAAGACGCCCGCCGGCTTTCCCAGTGGCGCGGCAGGGGACTCGTTCCCCGAGCCTGAGGGACGAGGTGGAGACGAGCTCACGGCCTCGTCGTCGTCGTCGTAGTCACCGTGGTAGTCATCGTCGTTGTCGTCGTCGTTATCGTCGTCGTCGTTATCGTCGTTGTAGTGTTCGTTGTTATCATTATCATCGTCATTGTCGTTATCGTCGTCTTCATCGTGATCATCATCGTCGTTGTCGTCATCATGGTCGTCGTCATCGTCATCATCATCATTGTCATCATCATCGTCGTCATTGTCACCATCGTCATCATCGTCGTCATTGTCGTCATCATCGTCGTCTTCGTCATCATTGTCATCATCATCATTGTCATCATCGCCGTTGTTGTCACCATCGGCATACACTGACCGACTACCTGACATCTGAACTCATTCCCTTCCGATGACGTACACGCGTACTGAATCGGAAGATCAACTGAACTAAACTGAGTTTACCGGTACCAGGCTCCCACAAGGCCACGCGTGGAGGGGGCGGCGAGTAACGGCGCCGCCGCTACGCCTCTCTAATAACAACGACATCGCCACCGGACCCTCGCTCGCTCGCGTTCACGAGATTCGTCGGTGAACGGGGACGGGGGGGGGGGGGGAGGACACCCACCACCCTGCTGCAACTTACTCGGGCGATTGTTGGCTGCCGAATCTTAACGTAGAGAGGACCGCAGAGCTCAGGCAATTGTGGCACCCGCTGCATCCCGCCTCGCTCGGTCTGTGGTTCCCCGTCGCCCCCCCTCCCCGCACCTCTCCCCGCTCTCTCGCTCTCTCTCCATCACTGCTGGATCAAAGCCTCCCTCCCCAACCCCCAACCCCCACGCGCGTCGCCGCTGACCATCCCTTGCGGTCCCACCACGCCGCAATTCGTCGCTCCAATCAATCTCCCTCTGGCTGCCACTCCGTCTCGAGCCCTCGTCGTCGCCCACGGCGCCGTCAAACCCCGTCCGGCATTTAAACGGTATTTCTATTTTTATTTTTACTTTCCCGAGGCCACGGCCGCTACGACAGGTTGGCCCGCGGGGGACGACTACAAAGCGAGGAGCCTATCGGGAGGGGGGGGGTCGTCCCTCTTCCGCGGGGCCTCCCCATGAGCAGCGTGGGGGACGTCGGCTTCTGTGAGCCTTTCAACCCGGTGGTGGGGGGGGGGGGGGGGGGGTTGGGGACATGGTGTGGGAGAGGCTGGTGGGCGAGCACCTTTCTGGCTGTCGGAGTTGCTGAAACCCCCGGCGGGGGGGAGCGGGGACTTCCTGCCCTCCAGCAGACGCCCCTCGGCGCCCTTCCCGTGGAGCAGCAGGAAGCCGTCGCTCGGCGAGTCCTGAGCAGCCAGTGGGGGGGGGGGGGGGGGGGGGGGAGGGGGGGAGGGGTCAGAGAGCCGTGGTGACTTTGGTGACAACGCAAGTTGCCGGCATAAATATCCCTCCGCTGTTGCGCTCCACAACAACAACAACTACAACAACAGTACAGCAAAAGCTCCTCTTGCCCGGCACTTGACCATCAGTGAACGATCTTTTCGCCCTTCGGGCTTAGCAGGAACTCGACACGCCAAGCTTAGCTCCTGATTCTGCCGATCCTTGCGAGGGGTGATGATGGCAGCGGCAGGAGCAGCAACGAGGCTCACGAGCTCGAGATGCCAATTTCGAGGTCTGCTAAGCAACGATGAGAGGGCCTCAGCAAAGCGAGAGAGTTGGTGTCCTCCTCCTCTTCCCCCCGCTCCTCCTCCTCCTCGTCCGTTAAAGGAGCGCAGACCATAGCGGGTTTTACTTTCCCGGTGGGAGATGGATGACCTTCGTACGGCGTCGCGTCCTGGCGCCCCCTTCAACCGATGCCAGGTACGTTCGCAAATGCGGGACGTCTCGCGGGGGTTCGTTCGTAAGTGCGGAATGTTGGTAAGTCGAACACATAACGGTGGTTCGTTCGTAAGTGCGGAATGCTCGTAAGTCAGACACCTAGCGGTGGTTCGTTCATAAGTGTAGAATGTTCGTAAGTTGGACACCTAGCGGTAGTTCGTTCGTACGTGCGGAATGTTCGTAAGTCGGACACGTCGCCATGGTCTGTCGTAAGTGGGGAATATTCGTAAGTGCAGACCATCTCCTATGGTGGTTTGTTTATGAGCGGGGAATGTTCGTAAGTGCGGACAGCTCACAGCGGTTCGTTCATAAGTGGAGACTGGTTCATAAGTCGGACACTTCACGGCGGTTCGTTCGTAAGTGCGGGATGTTCGTAAGTCGGACACCTAGCGGGGGTTCGTTCGTAAGTGTGGAGTGTTCGTAAGTGTGGAATGTTCGTAAGTGTGGACGTCTCATGGGGGTTCGTTCGTAAGTGCAGAATGCTCGTAAGTCGGACACCTAGCGGTGGTTCGTTCATAAGTGCGGAATGTGCGTAAGTCGGACACGTTGCTGCGGTCTATTCGTAAGTGGGGAATATTCGTAAGTGCAGACATCTCTACGGTGGTTTGTTTGTAAGTGTGGAATGTTCGTAAGTGCGGACAGCTCATAGCGGTTCGTTCATAAGTAAAGAAGGTTCGTAAGTCGGACACCTCACGGCGGTTCGTTCGTAAGTGTGGAATGTTCGTAAGTCGGACACATAGCGGTGGTTCGTTCGTAAGTGTGGAATGTTCTTAAGTGTGGAATGTTCGCAAGTGTGGAATGTTCGTAAGTGTGGAATGTTCGTAAGTGTGGAATGTTCGTAAGTGTGGAATGTTCGCGAGTGTGGACATCTCGTGGCGGTTCGTTTGTAAGTGCGGAATGTTCGTAAGTTGTGGCACCTAGCGGCGGTTCTTTCATGTAGGGGGAATGTCATAAGTCGAACACATAGCGGTGGTTCGTTGATAATGTGGAATGTTCGTAAGTCAGACATCTCTACGGTGGTTTGTTCGTGAGTGGGGAACGTTCGAAAAGTACGGTCGTTCGTATCCCGGGGAAAGGCCACTGCTCGAATACGCTCCGTAGCTCGCCCCAGAACATTCATTTTCTGCCGCCAAGACAACGAGAGAACACAACCGCCGATTTGACTTGCGCCGCAGCCGCCCCGCCAAACATCGAACCCGGTCGGCCGTGACCGCCCGCTCCCCCCCCCCCCCGCCGCTCCCCCCCGGAGCCCACCGTTCCGCGCGTTCCTCCGTCCCCTCCGGCTCCGGGCTGGCAAGCGAGCGCTCCCGTCCTGCGCCAGCGAGCCGTCGCCGCGGCCAGGGATCCGGCACCACCGCCACCGGCACCGCCGAGCGGGAGGTGGAGCAGGGCGGCGGCGCCCTGGGAGAGCCGCCCAGCGGGGGGTGTGGTCGGGCCGCAGGGAGCGCGCCGACGCCGACAGGTGCGTCATGGGGATGTCCACCTGCGGCGACGACGAGCTGTTGCCGCCGCCGGTGCCGGTCGCCGCGGAGACGGTGGCGACGATGGCGCATGGGTCTTGCGGGGAGAGGCTGCAAGCGGTGGTGGGGGGAGGGGGTGGCAGGCGACAGTGCGGGATTTGTTGGTGGCCCCGAAGCAGTTTTCGGCAAGCGATGAAATCGTGCGCGATCGAGAGGAGGTCGCGTGGCGAATGCATCCTTTCTTCCGTGTTGTTAAATAAAATGTTTTAAATATTTACCTCCCCACCCACCCCCCTCCTTCTCCCTTTCGCCCTTCACTTGAGCTATTCCTCCCTGACCTTCCCCTCCCCATATGAAGCTCGCATGCTCCCCCGCTCAACCTCGAGCCCAAACTCTCTCTTCTGTCTACAAGCCAGGAGTGTTCCGTGGAGTTATGTGTCCCCCCACACACCCCCCTCCCACGTGTACCGGGGCTCAAAATAAAAGCAAATTAAATATTTTTCTATCTCCCCCCCCTCCTCCCCCCCCCCCCCCCCTGGCGGCGGAGGCGGCCGGTGTAGTGTCACGTGACCCCAGCATCCATCTTCTTGGTTCTTTCGGTAAAGTCACGTAGAAGGGAAACATAAAATAATAAAAATAAAACATAATACAATACAATTCTCACGACGTTTTCGGCCACAACGCAAGCAGCCGTCCTCGGGTGAAGAACAGGTCTGTCGGAAAGACAGCGTCTGAATGAGCTCCACCAAGCTTGGCAGCGTATATTAAGCTGGGTTGGAGGAGGAAGGGCGCCTTGACAAAGGAATTTGCATATCAACAGAGAATTTAGCATATTCAGACGCTGTCTTTCCGACAGACCTGTTCTTCACCTGAGGACGGCTGCTTGCGTGTGGCCGAAACGTCGTGAGAATTGTATTTTATTATGTTTATTTATTATTTTATTATTTTCCCTTCTACGTGACTTTACCGAACGAACCAAGAAGATGAATCCCTGCAGTCACGAAAGCTTTAAATCGAAACCCCAGCATCCGTTGGGATGTCCCTCAGAGCGGCGCGGTGACCACGTGGGAACGGCCCGCAGAAAGCGAACGTCGCAGAGCTACTACGAACATCCCAGCTTCAAATTTCGATGTAAAGCTTTCGTGACTGCAGGGATTCATCTTCTTGGTTCTTTCGGTAAAGGTCACGTAGAAGGAAGTAATAAAATCAGGTGAAGAACCGGTCTGTCAGAAAGACACGTCTGAATGATACACACCAAGCTTGGCAGCGTATATTAAGCTTAGAGTCGCGGCATCTCTTCAGAAAGGTGAGAGACTCGATTAGCTGAGCCTTCTTATCACGGAGCTTGTTGAGGATCTCAAAGTTACGTGGAATCCCTCCACACAGACACACACACACACAGGCATCGATTACCGCCCCCCCGCCAGTCCCATTCCCCTGCCCCCCCCCCTATCGCTTCCTCCCCCCACGGCCCCCCCATCCCCCCCGCCCCCCACCGTTACCGTCCGGCGCGCTGTGCCCCGGCGCCGTCGTGGCTCCGACCGCCGCCGCCGCGGCTTTGAGCGGCGGCGGCGGCGGCGGCGGCGGCGGGGGGTGCTCAGGCCGAGGCCTGGCTAGCAGGCCCCGGCGAGCCGTCCCACGGCGGCCGCCTGCCCCATCTTGGGGGGCGGCGGCCCCTTCTCCTCTCCTCCTCCTCGTCCTCCTCCTCCTGGTCCCCCGTGGTGCTGCTGGTGGTGTGACGGGGGTCCCCGCAGCGGCGTGGACGTGGGGGCGCCCGCCGGGGCCGCCGCCGCTGCCGCCGCCACCCCCGAGCGACGTCGTCCGGGAAGGCGTTGGTAGCGCTTGAGTTGGCGCTTTCAGCTGGTGGGGGGGTGGGGGGGGGGGGGGGGGGGTGTTGGGGGGGGGTGTGAGGGGGGTGGAGGTGGGCCACGGCGGGAGTGGGGTGAGGAGGGGCAGGGGTGGGAGGTTCACGGTGGACGAGCGAGTGAGCGAGCGAGCGAGCGAGCCATCTTCTCGTGGTGCGAGTCGCCTTGACAATTGAACACGACCAGTGAGTGAGCGAGCGAGCGATTGAGCGAGTGACTGTGCGAGTGAGCGAGCCAGGGAGTGAGCGAGTGAGAGATGTGAGCGAGTAACTGTGCGAGTGAGTGGGTGAGCGAGTGAGCGAGCGAGTGACTGTGCGATTGAGTGAGTGAGCGAGCGAGGAGTGAGCGAGTGACTGTGCGAGCGAGTGAGCGAGCGACAGAGAGTGTGAGTGAGCGAGTGAGTGAGCGACTGAGAGAGCGAGTGAGTGACTGCGACTGAGAGAGTGAGTGAGCGAGCGTGCCACCTTCTCGTGATGCGAGTCGCCCTCTGGCCCGTCCTGACAGTCAAACACGACCAGTGAGTGAGTGAGTGAGCGAGCGTGCACCTTTCGTGGTGCGAGTCGCCCTCTGGCCGTCCTGACAGTCAAACACGACGGTCGTCCTCCTCTGCCTCTGCTCCTCCCACAGCCCCGGGTTGAAGCTGTCGCTCTCCGACGTGTAGTCTGCGTCGCAGCAGCAGCAGTAGCAGCAGGAGAAGCAGTAGCAGGAGAAGCAGGAGAAGCAGCAGGAGAAGCAGCAGCAGCAGGAAAAGCAGCAGCAGCAGTAGCAGCAGTAGCAGCAGGAGAAGCAGTAGCAGCAGGAGAAGCAGTAAGGAGAAGCAGTAGTAGCAGCAGGAGAAGCAGTAGTAGCAGGGAGAAGCAGTAAGGAGAAGCAGCAGTAGCAGCAGGAAAAGCAGCAGCAGCAGCAGAGTAGCAGCAGTAGCAGCAGGAGAAGCAGTAGCAGCAGGAGAAGCAGAAGGAGAAGGCAGTAGTAGCAGCAGGAGAACCAGTAGTAGCAGCAGCAGAAGCAGCAGTAGCCAGTAGCAGCAGCAGTAGCAGCAGCAACAGGAGAGGCAGTTCCAGCCACAGGAGAAGCAGCGGGTAGCAGAAGGAAGAAGCAGCAGTAGCAGCAGCAGCAGCAGTAGTAGCAGCAGTAGCAGCAGGCAGTAGCAGCAGCAGGAGCAGCAGTAGTAGTAGCAGCAGGAGCAGCAGTAGTAGTAGCAGCAGCAGCAGTTAGCAGCAGGAGAAAGCATCAGCGGCAGCAGTGGCACCACCATTATGAGCACCATCATCACAAACACACCAAACAGAGCAGTGAGAAAGACATCATAAACATCATCATCAACAACAACATCAACAACATCATCAACATCATCAGCATCAACATCAGCATAATCAACATCAGCATCATCATCAACAACATCAGCAACTCATCAGCATCATCAACATCCATCAGCAGCAATAAAAAGAGCGTGAGTGGATGTCGTGATGGGTGGTGAGTGGGTGAGTGAGTGGTCTATGTGGTGGGTGGGTGTGGGTGAGTGAGGTACGAATGAGTGGACCAGGGTGTGGGTGGGTGAGACATGGTGTGTGGGTGAGGTAAATGGGTGGGTGGTGAGTAAATGGGTGAGTGGGTGAGTAAATGTGTGGGTGGGTCAGTACATGGGTGGGTGAGTAAATGTGTGGGTGGGTACATGGGTGAGTGGGTGAGTACATGATGTGGTGGGCTGAGTACATGGGTGGGTGAGTACATGGGTGGGGTGGGTGAGTAAATTGTTGGGGTGGGTGATTACATGGGTGGGCGGGTGGGTACAGGGTGGGTGGGTGGGTGAGTACATGGGTAGGGGGTACATGGGTGGGTGGGTGAGTACATGGGGTGGGTGGGTGAGTACATGGGTGAGTGGGTGAGTACATGGGTGGGTGAGTACATGGGTGGGTGAGTACATGGGTGGGTGGGTGAGTACAGGGGGGTGGGTGAGTACATGGGTGGGGGGTGAGTACATGGGTGAGTGGGTGAGTACATGGGTGGGTGGGTGAGTACATGGGTGGGTGGGTGAGTACATGGGTGGGTGGGTGAGTACATGGGTGGGTGGGTGAGTACATGGTGGGTGGGTGAACAGATGGGTGGGTGGGTGAGTACATGGGTGGGGGGTGGGTGAGTACATGGGTGGGTGGGTGGGTACTGGGTGGGTGGGTGAGTACATGGGTGGGTGGGTGAGTACATGGGTGGGTGGGTGGGTACATGGGTGGGTGGGTGAGTACATGGGTGGGTGGGTGAGTACATGGGTGGGTGGGTGAGTACATGGGTGGGTGGGTGAGTACATGGGTGGGTGGGTGGGTACATGGGTGGGTGGGTGAGTACATGGGTGGGTGGGTGAGTACATGGTGGGGTGGGTACATGGGTGGGTGGGTGAGTACATGGGTGAGTGGGTGAGTACATGGGTGGGTTGACCTGCATGAGATGGCACAGACTCCACGCGGTTCACGCCATTTTCCGACGACGACACTGCAATGGACGCGTGCACACACGCGCACGCACACACGCGCACACACACGCGCACGTACACGCGCATGCCCGTGCGTGTGGGAGCTACTCGCGTACCGGCAGACGCGCGCACGCGTGTGGTTTGGCGCTCACACGCACGCACGCACGCACACGCACGCACGTACACGTGTAGGTGTATAGACGGACACACACAGGAAGGTGTGTATGCACCCACGCGCACACGCATTCATGCACAGGTACACACACACGCACATATAAACGCGCAGACACACACGCACGCTCATATGAATGCACAGACACACAAACGCACACGCGCACATATAAACGCACAGACACAAGACAAAGATCCCCCATATAGCCTTAACAGACTGTAGGGGCAAGTGCTGTTAGCGAGCAGCTATGAAGGCCGCAACGGTACACGAGGGGGTGGGTGGCCAGCACCACGCCCGGCCGCCTTTGTCTCCCTAGTGGCGATGTTTACACACCGCACCAGGTACTCATTTGAGGCACACACGAACACACACACGCCCAGACGACAAGGCACAGATGGAGACACAGTGGACGACGTGAGTGCACATGGCACAAAGAGGCAGCCGGAGTCGACCAAGTAAAATGTGGAACGTTGGTCCAACAACGTTGGGCGAACGTTGGGGACAAACGCATCGAAAACCACGTCGTTTCAGAGACACGCGTTCCTCGTTTGCTCTCGCAAGAGGGCTGCTGCGATTGGCTGGATGAGGTCACACGGGTCGGTTGTCGTCAAGGCAACGTGAAGGCAAGCATTCAACATGGCGGATTTTTTTTCCCTTCTTCTATATCCAGGGACTCCTCTACTTACGAACGTTCAACTTACCAACTTTCAGAGATAGGAACAAACCGGGTCCGAATGTCCAGTTGCCCGTTCGGACCGAGAGTCGTAAGTTCAACCACCATGCAATAGATGGCGGTGGCGGCATCTACACCTATAAAACGTGAAGAACCAGTGGCATCTACATCTACAGAACGTGAAGAAATGGTGGCATCTACAGAACGTGAAGAACCAGTGGCATCTACATCTACAGAATGTGAAGAAACGGTGGCATCTACATCTGCAGAACGTAAAGAAACGGCGGCATCTACATCTACAGAACGTGAAGAACCAGTGGCATCTACATCTGCAGAACGTGAAGAAACGATGGCATCTACATCTACAGAACGTGAAGAACCAGTGGCATCTACATCTGAAGAACGTAAAGAAACGGCGGCATCTACATCTACAGAACGTGAAGAACCAGTGGCATCTACATCTGAAGAACGTAAAGAAACGGCGGCATCTACATCTACAGAACGTGAAGAACCAGTGGCATCTACATCTGCAGAACGTGAAGAAACGATGGCATCTACATCTACAGAACGTGAAAAACCAGTGGCATCTACATCTGCAGAACATGAAGAAACGGTGTGGCATCTACAGAACGTGAAGAACCAGTGGCATCTACATCTGCAGAACGTGAAGAAACGGTGACATCTACATCTACAGAACGTGAAGAACCAGTGGCGTCTACATCTGCAGAACGTGAAGAACCAGTGGAATCTACATCTGCAGAACATGAAGAACCAGTGGCATCTACATGTGAAGAACGTAAAGAACCAGTGGCATCTACATCTGCAGAACGCGAAGAACCAGTGGCATCTACATCTGAAGAACGTGAAGAACCAGTGGCATCTACATCTGCAGGACGTGAAGAACCAGTGGCATCTACATCTGTAGAACGTGAAGAACCAGTGGCATCTACATCTGCAGAACATGAGAACCAGTGGCATCTACATCTGTAACACGTGAAGAACCAGTGGCATCTACATCTACAGAACGTGAAGAACCAGTGGCATCTACATCTGCAGAACGTGAAGAACAGTGGCATCTACATCTGAAGAACACGAAGAACCAGTGGCATCCTACATCTGCAGAACATGAAGAACCAGTGGCATCTACACTCTGTAAAACGTGAAGAACAGTGGCATCTACATCTACAGAACGTGAAGAACCAGGTGGCATCTACATCTGCAGAACGGAGAACCAGTGGCATCTACATCTGAAGAACACGAAGAACCAGTGGCATCTACATCTGCAGGACCGTGAAGAACCAGTGGAATCTACATCGGCAAAACGTGAAGAAACCAGTGGCATCTAACCTGCAAGAACGTGAATAACCAGTGGCATCTACATCTGCAGAACATGAAGAACAGTGGCATCTACATCTACAGAACGTGAAGAACCAGTGGCATCTACATCGGCAAACGTGAAGACCCAGCGGCATCTACAATCTACA